GCTATTCACCCTGTTTCTAGGACTCAGTCTGGAAATAAATCTTGGGAAAACTGGAGGCCAGAGGGATCCTTTCCCCCACAACCTTATTTACTACTTATAAAAACAGTTATATGCTTAGGACATTCAGTCTTAAAGAAGTTTTAAACTTGGTGCTGCATATGAAACACGCAATCAATACATGGTGTTCCTCTGCAACGTTTGTCTCCCAATAAATTGATAAACAAGTTTTTTTAAAGGGGACACAGAGGGTGCAGCTCAGGAGTGGGAGTTTAAACCTTCACTGGTGAACACTCCACACACCATCCCCCGTGTGTCAGTGCATTCACCTGCATTCACAGGGGGCTTCCCAGCAACTCTTCCTCTACAAACACACTTTTCCATTTACTAAAAACAATGAGAATGAGTCACTTGTGCAGAATACAGCCCTCCCCATACACCAGATGCCTGATGTTGCATGCTGTGAAGCCAAAAAAAAAAATAATCGTGCCTACTCAAGTTACAGTATTCGTCACACAACTCTGTCAGCATTTTGCATCTTTTGTAAATGTTTTCTTTGGAATGTTTGAATTTTATTTTTTTTTTTTTAATGTTAAGACCTTAATATTCCTTGTCAAAATGCACTACCCAGTCCTGTAAGAGCTGGCATCTAATTAGCTTAGATAGTAGCAGCTTGAGAATACCACCCAAACAATGACCCAAAATTAATGTCTTTTAACAAGGGAGTAAAACAAATGGAGAGAAAAAAAACTCAGAGCTTTAGAACTGAGAAAACCAGCATTTCCTCGTGTTTTACAAGGCTTTCCCTTCCAACTCTACTGCATCTGTTCCTATAAATAACACGAAAGAAATAAAAAATGCTCATCTTTTCAACCCAGTTCTTCCAGAACTCCTACAGAAATGCTTCCTGACTGGGGAGCTGCACACGGAACAGGCAGGCAGAACTCCTGCCCCTCCACCCCTCTCTGGAACCAGCGGAGTGGAAGCACAAATCAAACCCTGAACAGTGAACGGCACTGAAGTGGAGAATGAAATTATACAACTGTTGGGGGGGATGTTCCACAATCACTGCAGAATCTTAGCAAGTAATTAGGAAGTTTGCCCCTTTTTTTCCTCCAGAATAAGAGGATGACAGCTGAGCCCAGTTCTACCTTTTGTCTCTTTACAGAGGTGTTGCATCAACTGACTCGTTAAAATTAGAGGAGTGATTTAAAATAAAGGCACTTGCCTTTAGCCACGCATTACATGTAAGGACAGAACAGAACAGGGACACAGTAACAGGCAGACCCAGATGCTGTAGATCCTAAATTATTCATGACCTATTCAGTACAAAATAAAATGGCCCTAGAAAATTAATTTTAGTAAGAAAGGAATTAAATTTTTAAGATATCTCTACAAATTATGAAGTTCCTCCACGAACCATATATTCAGCAGTTGCAAATAGTTAAGATGTAAAAGTGCAGAAGAAAGAAGAGTTTAATCAGTTCCTAATGAGATAAGTGTGCCAGATACCACAAAGGATGGCACCACTTCAGCAAAGTGAAAACACTGTTCAACACACTGAAGTAAACAAGAACAGCATTTAATATTGATTAGTTTCAAGCAATAATTGAGTATTTCAAGTAATGTTTTGTACACTTGCAGGAGGCATTTCAGACTTTGAAGTTAGTTGTAATCTAGCAATAATCTCATTGTAAAACCTGACCACCAGTGCAGCTGTGTCCTTCCAGTCTCTCATTTCCATAAGCACTAAAGAAGCCTATTTTTGCTCTTATTCTCGTTTAGAGCATTAAGACTCTAAAAACTGTTCTGATGGGATTACACGGAATACAGTTGCTATTTTCACAACCTGAGCTCTCCAGACAACAGAAATGTTTTTACCAGAAAAAAAAAAGAAAAAGAAAATAATAAGGAAAAGATCTTTAGAACAAGAGCAGCAGTCACAGATGCTGACAAACTCAACCTCCAGCATAACAAACGTCACCGGGATTCTCTTTGGGAAAGCTGCAGTTGCAGAAACGATAATCATTAGGCTTAATATAGTTCTGAGCCAAATTATGGCAGCTGTGCATGCCACAACAAAGAGCATTTTTAAGTATCAAGCACGCAGTTAATTTAACTACAACCAAACTCCAGAATATTTCGGATTCACAGCAGATTGCTCAGAGCACTGAATGCATCCCAGGGCTGCTCTTACCTTTCTTAGCAGCATCTGCTCTCCGTCTTGCTGGCGACACCAGATCCTTTACAATCTGTAGCACCTGAATCATTGCTCGTCAGCAAGATCAAAGGGACTGGGTGCTCCTCGAGAATTCCAACAGGTTTCATTCCTGCACCTGATTACATGGCTGTCCTCAGAACGCTCAAGCAAAACTGATGCAGGAACAACTCATCCACCTTCACAGGAAGATTTCTGCCTGACGACTCCACAGGCTGGGGTGATGGATTTAAAGTGACTTCAGCACAAGGAGGCAAGAAACTGCCAGCAGTCCTGAGCGCGTTTCTACAGAGCATTTTAAAATTATTTACCACAGAGGACGCATAGTGATGCCTCTAAATAAAGTTTAAAGTAATAAAGTAATCATGCCATAAAGTAGTTAAAGGAAAAAAGAAAAACCACTTGCAGTGACTGCTGACAGATGCAGCTCCCCTGGGCTCAGTAAGAAGTGGCTGCATCCTCCCTTCAAGTCTGTCTCAATTCACGAAATTCCACGTAATGCTCCAAGGACCCTGGTCGGTGCAGCGCAGAGCCAACGTCAGACTCACCAGCAGGACTAAAATTAAACCCAGCCTGCAAGAACTCCATCAGGCACAAGCAGCAAGCTCCTGCTAGAAACAGGCACTGGGTTCCTCCTCTCCCCCCTCGAACACAAACCTCGGACACCCCTGGACGTGACAGGAATCCTCGCACGCTGGGAGGTTGGAAACCCTGGGAGCATTTCAGGCGTTCTCTCTCCCACCACCAGAGGCCCAGAGAACTATTTCAGCAGAGCCACTGTGATTACTTCTGTCAGGTAATTTTAGGCAGACAGATTGCAGTATGTGCCCCCTCCCACCCCCCCCCAACATTTTAATGCCATCTGGAAAATGTACAAAGGCCCTTCAGAAGTGTCTTTTGTCAAAACCTCTACAGAGA